ATAACAAATTTTAATATAATTGTGCTTTAAAGGTAGAATAACTGAATAAGTATATTGTAAAGCATTAAAATGACAAAAGAACATTGTGTTCAAGTGGAAAAACTGTTGTTCTACAACATGGAGATTAAGTGTTCGAATCTCAAGCTTGTAATCAAGAATATGGTTAAAATCTTTGGGATTTATATGGGTTAAGTATAAGTCCAAGCACCCATTGGCCAAAGGATTGCATTGTCCTGGTGGCAAAGGATCAACCTAAAGACTCTAAGGTTGCAAGTTCAAATCCCGGCGGACACAAATTTCTCAAAATCTTATGCCCAAGCATTGAACCGTCCGGTTGAACGGTTTGAGCGGTTTCAAACGGTTCACCGGTTCGAGCGGTTTCAAACGGTTTAACCATTTAAATGGTTCAAAAAATGTAACCGAACCGTCTAGATCACCGGGTACCGGTTCAACCGGTCCGACCATCCGGTCCGGTCCGGTTTTCAAAACCTTGGGCATTTCACCAAGGAAGTTCAGAACATGAGACAATTCTTAACAGTTCTTAGCTAGCAAAACAGTTTAGGAAATTTGATTAGGCTAACCAATAGATTGGCACAAACAATGGGAATCAGTTTCACAATAACATTCTATGGGTCAATAATCAATATGTGGTGCACCCACACGATAAGCTAGGTCCTCCCTTGGCTATTCCCACCATGCAGAGGTCAATGTCTACAATAAGTCACTAACAATAGCACAATGAGTACCCAGTTCTGTTTGGATCTATATCTCCATAAAATTATAGCAATAAGCATAATATCATATAGTTTTGCATCACTGCATATATCACAGCAATTTCAATAACTAGCATGCAAGTCTTTCAATGCACCAATATCACAAGTAGAGCATGTGGAGTCAATTCTAATTCCATTCTTGATTGTTCATTTCAAAGTATACTTGAAATAATTCTACCTCAGTCACTTAACTTATTTGCAAAGTAAGTTCTACGTATTCTTGATTGTCATTAAAATCTACTATCTTTCCTTTAGTCACAGATTTAGCATGTAACAAGCATTTACCTCTCCCGTACACAAAACCTGATCTGGAAGAACTATAGGTTTGTCAATTTCCTTTGTTTTGTTGCCCAGCAGAACTTTCCACGTTTTCTTTTCCTCTCTCGGCTGAAGACCACATGCAAAATGATAAGTTTGAGCCTATTTTCAAGCTTTAACAATTCAGACAAATAGATGACACTTTAGTGGAAACTCAGTGAAATCTACTATGGTTTCCAAAAGTCTAAATATGCAGACTTTTACTATTACATGCAACCAACATCTAACATTCACTGTTAGATGCAGCAAATTGAATAACTATGCATATCTAAGCCCAAATCTGTCAATCTAAAAATTCACGCAATCTTATTAGCTTCTATTAGTTAGTTCTATGAGTTCCATTAACTTAACAAATAAGGACAGAGCTTCCTAACTTATGATAAACAGGGATAATTTATCCTACCATGCAACTAAGGACTGGATTATGACATTCTCCCTCCTTTGATAGATTTGGCCCTCCAAATCTAAGTCTTACTTTTAAATAGTTGAGGATATTGCTCCCTGATTTCCCTTTCCAACTCCTAGGTAGCCTCCTTTAGAGAATGGTGCTATCACTTCACTTTAACTATAGGAATGACTCTATTCCATAGGACTTTCTTTTTCTTGTCTACAATCATTTTTGTTTCTTCCTCATAGCTCTAGTCTTCCTTCAACCCTAGTGGCTTTAAGTTAATCTTATGAGATTCATCTGGAATATACTTCCTTAAAATTGAAACATGGAATATATTATGCTTTTTTGACAGTTTAGGCAGCAAAGCAACTCTGTAGGCTACCTCTCCAATGCATTCTAAAATCAAGAAAGGTCCAAGGTACCTTGGACTTAGTTTTCCTCTCATCCCAAATCTATACACCCCCTTGGTTGGAGACACCTTCAGAAGGACATGCACTCCAACTCTGAATTCTAAGGGTCTTCTTCTCTGATCTGCTTGACTCTCATGTCTGTCTTGAGCTGCTTTCAATCTTTTTGCCGAATCAATTTCACTTTTCTTTGATGTTTCCTGAACAAATTCTAGTCCCAACAACTGTTTATCTCTGATATCTCCGATTTCTTCCCAATATAAGGGAGTCCTGCATCTTCTGCCATAATATGCCTCAAAAGGTTCCCTTCCTGGACTTGTTTGATAATTATTGTTGTATGCAAATTCAACCGAAGGCAAGTGAACATCCCATTTTCCTGGCAAGTCCAGGTGCCCTCTAAGAATATCTTCCACAATCTGTGTCACCCTCTCAGTTTGACCATCTGTTTGAGGGTGGAAAGCAGAACTCAAATTCAATTTGGTTCCCGTGGCTGTTTGAAATGCCTTGCAAAACTTTGCTGTAAACCTAGGATCCCTATCTGAGGTGATACTCATTGGGACTCCACGCAATCTCACAACTTCTTGTACATAAAGCTGAGCTAGTTTAATTAACTGTTCTCCATCTTTCATAGGAGTTATTCTGTCCACTATACCCCAGCTTGAATCATTCTGAGCTTTAGTTCTTGGTAGCCCTTTGATGAAATCTATCGAAATGTGATCTGATTTCCACTCCAGAATAGGCTAAGCCTGCATCCTTCCTTCTGGTTTTTGATATTCTGACTTGATCTGTTGACAAATTAAACATTTGGCTACATAATTTGCTACGTCCCTCTTCATGCCAAACCGCCAGAAATTCCTCGTCATATTCTGGTACTTCCTTGAGATTCTGAGATGTATAGTAAATTTTGACTTATGTGCTTCATCAAGAAGTTTTGTCTTGATTTTTACATCCCTAGGGACACAGATTCTATTTCCCAACTTAATGCATCCTTTTTCATCCACATGCACTTCCACTCTAGCACACCTTCCTGCATCAGAAATTAGCCTTTGTAGCTTGGAGTCTTCTTTCTGAGCTTCTTGAATTTTCTGCAACAATTCTGGTTGAATTCTCAAGCCAGCAATTAAAACATTCCCTTGCACCTGTGAATTTGCTAAGTCCATGTTACTGAATTCTTCACATAATTTCCACTCTGCCACCATCATGGCCATCACTCTCTCTGGAGTTTTTCTACTAAGGGCATCAGCAACCACATTTCCTTTTCCTGGGTGATAAATAATTCTGCAGTCATAATCTTTGAGATATTCCATCCACCTTTGTCTCAGATTTAGTTCTTTCAGTGAAAATAAATATTTCAAGCTTTGGTGATCTTTGTGCACTTCAAAATCCACTCTGTACAAACAGTGCCTCCACAACTTCAAAGTAAAAATAATTGCAGCTAGTTCTAAGTCGTGAGTTGGGTAATTTTTCTCATGACTCTTTAGCTGTCTAGGTCCATAAGCAACCACTTTGCCTTGCTGCATTAAGACACACCCAAGACCCTTCAAAGAAGCATCTGTATATACGATAAAATTTTCTCCAGCACCGGGTAAAGATTGAAACGGTTAAGTTGTCAATTTCTTTTTCAATTTGAGGAAACTATTTTCATATTCCTCAGTCCACTCAAATTTCCTATTCTTCTTGGCTAGTTGAGTGACTGACCCTGAAATCTTGGAGTATCCTTCAACAAACTCTCTGTACTAACCAGCCAGGCCAAGGAAACTTCTGACTTCAGTTACTGTTGTTGTTCTTTCCCAGTTAACAATTGCCTCAATTTTGCTTGGATCAACTGAAATCCCTTCTGCAGATATTAATATTGCATGCCCAAGAAAACGCACCTGTGATAACTAGAGTTCACGTTTGTCAAGTTTTGCATAAAGTTTCTGCTCTCTCAATGTCTGCAATACCACCACCAATTGTTCCTTGTAACTCTCTTCATCTTGCGAGTAAATTAAGATATCATTAATAAATACTATAACAAATTTATCAAGAAAAGGCATGAGAACCCTGTGCATAAGATCGATAAAAGCAGCTGGTGCATTTGCCAGCACAAACAGCATGACAAAGAATTCATAATGGCCATATCTTGTTCTGAATGCAGTCTTTGTTATGTCTTCAGATCTGATTTTCTACTGATAGTAGCCTGACCTTAGATTGATCTTTGAAAACACCTTTGCTCCTTGTATATGATCAAATAAATCATCTAGCCTAGGAAATGGATACTTGTTTTTAGTTGTCACCTGATTCAATTTTCTATAATCTATGCATAGCCTTAAAGTTGCATCCTTTTTCTTAACAAATAAAACTGATGCACACCATGGAGAAGTGCTTAATCTGATGACAGCTCCTGCAACTGTTTCTTCAGCTCAATTAATTCCATGGGTGCCATCCTGTATGGCAGTTGAGATATAGGTGCTCTCCCTGGTAACAAATCAATAGTGAACCTGGTGGCAACCCTGGGAAATACATTTGCATAATCCTCAAGTACCTTGTTTCCTTCCACACTGACTGCCTTGCCCTTGCTTTTGAACACATAGGCAAGGTAAACATGATGCCCATGATGCCATAATTCGGTAGCTTTCATACAAGAAATTAACATAGGACTAGTATGCACATCATCACCCCTAAATTGCAAAACTGGTAATTTAGGAATATGAAAATTAACAATTTTTCTCAAACAAATCTACCATTGCATGGTGAGTAGATAACCAGTCTATTCCTAGTATGATGTCAAATTCATCTATATCAAGTAAAACCAGATCAGCAAGCATGTGTTCTCCTCCTATAATTATGGGGCAGTTTCTATAACTAATATGAGAAGACATATGGGTCCTGATGGTGTGCTCACAGACACAACATAACCTAAACCCATAGGTTTAACATGCAAGCATGTGGCATATCTAGGTGACACAAATGAATTTGTGGAACCAGGATCAATCAGTATGTAAGCCACTGCAGGTGGGACAGTTGTCTTACCTCTAATTACTACAGTGTTCCTTTGAGCTTGCTGTTCAGTGATTGCAAACATCCTAGCTTGCACTTTCTGCCTTTTGTTTTCTGGTTTGGGCACAGAAGAGTCTTTAACTTGATGTCCTGTTTTCCTACAGTTGAAACATGCTTCTGACTGCCAATAGCATTCACTGTCTCCGTTTCTTCTTCCGTTACATATCTTGCTTGCATCTCCACCAGTAGCTTTGAAGTTCCCAACTCCTTTTTCCTTTCTGCTTGTGCTTCCTAGCATAAGTCTGGATGTTAGTGTTACCAGGCTTCCCTTTGTTTATGTGCCCTCGAATCTCCATCCTTTGAGCTTCCTTTCTTTTGAGCTTCTTCCAATTGCTCGATCACTTATGCTTTTATAACCACTGAAGAATAGTTGGTTAGTTCATGGGAAATCACTTGGGTTCCTATGGGAGGTTTTAAGCCAGAATTTCCTGACTTTGGTTAACTCATCACCAGCTACATGAGGGACAAATTGCACCTGGTCACTGAATTTAACCTGGTATTGATCCATTGCCATATCTCCTTGCTTGAAATCGTTCAGTTCTTATTCTTTCGTATCGAGCGTAGCTTGAGAGAAGTAAGTTTCATATTGGTTCTTAACAAATCCCTTCCAAGTAACATTCTCTGTCCTACAGTTGAATCCCTCTTTAGTTGGCTTCCACTAGTTTCTGGCCTCACTTCTAAGCATAAAAGTGGCCAACCTGACCTTATATTGTTCCTTGCAATTCATCACTTCAAGTATTTGCTCCAGGTCATTCACCCACTCATCAGCATTTCTGGTGTCCTAGGTTCCTTTGAAAATTGGAGGACTCCATTTCTGAAATTATTTCTGCACAGCCTGGTATGTAGGATCATCCTCCATTTGCTTAACCGTCTCTTGGATCTCCATTTGCTCAGCATTTCTGACTCCCTACTTGCTGGACTGTGGTCTGCAGCACTTCCATAGAAAAAATGCTAATTGTTTCACCAGCTGGCTTTTTGTTGCGCCCCTGTCGAGCATTACTTCCTCGACCTGAATTCTTGGTCCCCTTATTGGCCATTCCTCCTTTATCCTGGTACCCAAAAATATAAAGGACAAACAATAAATACTAGGACTAGCATATATCTAGGTGTTCTAGCTCTCCAGATAACAAGTTTGTACACTAACAAAACTATGGCTCTAATACCAAAATTGTCACATCCCATTTTAAGCCTTACTAGCTATGAGTTATGACACAATTTTGCTCTCTTTAACAGTAAATATATAATTGCAGTAGAGGTTAAAATATGAAGATTTGTTTTGAAGACACATTTCTATCAATTGAAAGTCAGATAACTAAGGGCAATAGCGGTTCCATACTTATAACAAGATATAATGCAGGGAAGCATTTATCCGTTGAAAGACATTTGCAAGTTGGATGTTTAAACCCTGTACATAAAATGCAGCTAACCTTAAAGCTACTGGAAAACAATGCTCAATTTTAGGAAATGAGAAAAATTCAGGTAAGCTGGTTTCATAAACTAGAAACTATTTAAACATCAGAACCTCAAGTTTAGTTTACAAAATATGCTCAGTTTAGTCCAGCTTTACAATATATACAGAGTAGAGTTTCTTATAAAGTATGCTAACTGAACATTTAAAGATGAGCCAGGCAAATTTGTTAGAGTTTACAAAATTGTCTAGCCAAGTTTAGGCTCCTGAGCTTACAACTTGGCCCAGGGAAAAGCTCCTAGTCTCCTGAGATCCTTTGTACTCCCTTAAATTTAGCTAATGTGCAACATGTTAAACTGATTTGTGAGCTAATGAGCCTGTAGGTGGAAGTTACTAACACCATTCTATAACTAAAAACTATTAATCATTTAAATATAGGCATTCCACGAAGTAAGTCACCACGGTTGGAAGATGAAAAATTTCTTTGTGAAAAGAAGTATTTAGTTTCCTTGATTTGAGTTGCTGATGATCTTTATGTGTTTTGTGGAAATGTAGATGAGATGGTGCAGCTCACTGAAGCTGGTGTGTCTAAGGAAAAGAGCCACCATTTCCATGGAGGCTGTCTTAGCAGCCACAAGTGTGCTCTGGTTTGCAGGAATGAACGATTCTCTGGTGGCAGATGCTGTCGCTTCGGATGCCGGTGCTTATGCCCCAAGTTTTGTTGATTGGCAGTCAAAAACGAGGATCTACATGCATCGGTTTTAAGGAAGAAAACGAAAATCTTATAGCTGAAAAAAGGAAACTGCTGCAGGAAAATGTAGACTAGATGCCTGAAAATGGGAAATTCTTGCAAGAAAATGATGACTTGAAGGTCCAATGTGAGGCATTTGTTAAGAATAGCAAAGGACCGGAGAAGAAAGTGAAGAAAAGTGAAAAGATCTGTGTCAGGGCACTTAGTTGTCAAATATTTTGTGGTTTCTGTTATGTCTTCTTGGTTCCATGTTTAATGGGTTGCATAGGTTGCATTAAATATTGTTTGAAAAAGGACAGGATGGGAGACTTGTGCATTTTGTGCATTATCTGCCTTTTGATATAATAGGAATGTAATTAAAATAAAAATACAAATATCATTTGTCATATTTTACATATATATAAAACCCTAAATAGAATTCTTAAGTTATGATGTTAGTACTTCCAGTATTAGGAGGTTGTTGTCTATGAGATCTTGAATTGTCCTCTATTTTGAAGCTTTTTTTACTAGTCAACCTTCCTTTTCTAGAGAGTGAGGTCATTCTTTTTCATTCTTCTAACGTCCTTGCATAGTTTTCATCCTTTTCTCTCCTCTATTTAATGACAGTGAAAACATGCTTACAAGGTATGCTTGTCATAGTGGAAGTCCTAATGTTCATATCAACAATAAATTTACGCTTGTCTTCTTCTTTAACCTCATAACCATTGCCACAAGCCATAGCACCTTGCATCTCATGTTTCGTTCCTTGCAACAAACTTCTCCCATATTTTAAGACCAAAATCACTAATGAACTTCTCTTCTGCAAATGTCCTCCTAGCAATAGTCTTATAACACATCATTCTAATATATTCAAGCATTAAGAAAATGGGTTTGTGCCTTGATTTAATAATTAAGTTATTAAAAACTCCGCACATATTGTTGTTAACTACACCTAACTTACTATCTTCCTTGAAGAAGGCCTTGGACCAAAACTTTGGGTGTATTTTTAATATTGCAGCCCTAGCTCTTTGTTTATTTTTGACAATTCATCCAATGCCTTGATGAAATCAGTTTCATTAGTTGTCTTTGCGCATTTCCAGAATGCCTTTTGCAATTTCTTGCATCAATTATCCTTCAAAAGTTGGCGTATATATGTCTTGCACATTTTCTTTGTTTAGCATCTAGAAACAACTATTTTATTACATTTATTAGAGTTTGCCATGCACATTACAAATAATCAAAAGCTATACAAATGGAAAAAAAATAAAAATAAATTATTAATAATATGTAAATTATATAAGTTCCCAATTTGGTCCTTGAACTTTGAAAGTATAGGGACCATATTGGGACCTTTGCTAATTAGAAGAGACAAGGCATGGTAGTAACCTTCTGTTGGTTTGATATAAATGTGAATCGTTTTCTTGTGCCAATTTGCAAATTTACTTGCAATTCTTCTAGAAACCATGTCTAAGTTTCTAGCTTTTCAACTTTAATAACTATCCATGCCAATGGATACATTTGATCATTCGCATCTCATTCAACTACCACCAACAAAACTCCTTTATATGCTCCCTTAAGAAAGCTCTATCTACCCCAATAGACACCTACAGCCAGCTACAAATCCAAGTTTCATAGTGCTAAAACATATATACATTCTTATGAAGATAGGATTTGAATCTGTTGTTGGCCTCGGTGCTTGAATGTGAATAGTGGTTGCTGGATCTCTTTTCCTTATCTCAATAACATAGTCCCAAAGTTTGCTATATTCCATCAAATAATGTCCCCAAAAAACATGGCAATTTTCTCTCTTGCCTTCTTGCATTGTTTATAAGTTAATTTGAGCCCAGTGCTTTTCTAGATGGTTTGAAATACGTCATTTGCTTTCAAGTAAAGGGCAACGAAACTCATCTTCTTAACCAAATATTTTGATGCAATTGTTGAGTTGCATTTTTTACTTGTGAGCTCTTCATTATAGGTATGCTCATGGAAATGTCTTCACCATTCACGAATTTGTGGCTATAACCTTTGATAATAATATATGCCAAGGATACCTTGGGGAATGTTAGATGATAGTCCTAATCCATTTGTTGTCATTCTTCCATTTAATATCCCTCTTTTGCATGAGCTTGCATTTATCAACAACAGCTTTAAATTGTGCCTGGTTCACAAAAATGATCCCCAACCTTATATTTGGAAAACCATCTTCAAGTTCTTGGTAAACTCTGTGTAGCTCTCCTAATAGCATGATCAACATCACTTCCATCATCCTCATTAGTAGATATGTGACTCTATTCTACATCACTTTCAATTGCATCACCATCATCATGGTATGTTGTAGGAGGGGAATTAGGCCTTGTTGTAGTTAGACCTAAATTAATTACATTTACACAAAGTAAATGAAAACATAACTCAAACCATAAAAAAAAAAAAAAAATTACAACTATGAAAAAAGAGTGACACACCTACATCATGATAGGAACTAGCTCCTACATCATCCCTTTATGGATTATTACAAAAAGACTTGACCTTCTTTCTGGCCTCTATAGTCTCCTTATCTTCATTATCTATTAATTTAGGGATATCCATAACAAGATATTCATGACTTCCATCACCTTCTGCCACATTGTCCCCATTAAGATCATCATTATGGTCATTAGCCACATTATGATTTTTTATGTGGATGCATGTTCCTTTTGGACACTTGCTTCATCTTCCTTCCCAAACCAAACACCTTATGTAGTAAAATCTTCTCCAAGTTCATAATAATCCTCAACTACACTCTCCTTTTAACCTTCTTCCACATGAACCTCACTATTAACCCCTTTACCATCAACAAAACCCTTAGTCTCATCCCTTTTACCAACATCATCTCCCTCACCTACATCATTAGTTTCTTAACCCTTTTTTGCATCATTGCCAACTGTTGGTAAAGAAATTGTTCAACAGGAAAAGGGAAATCTGGGATATGAATTATATATATGTGAACCTTATTATGAACCCTCATTATGTTTGAGATTTCTCTAATTGAGGCATCACCAATTACTTGCTTTAAGCCATTACTAAGTGTTTTCCTAGGTTCCAAATACCACATATGCTCAACCATATCTGGATCCTATTTTGCTATTGAAATCTTGTTGAACAACTCCAACACATTTAATTTATACATGTCTATAGGCTAGTCCCAACACTCTCCATCAACATATTTAAGTATGTTATCTTCTATTAACCTACTTCCTATGTGCACAAGCATCATATGCTTCTCTACTCCCAATCACCCTATTCAATAATGCAAATAAAAAATTTAATATTTAACACAATAAGTACATCTCAACAACCAAGCTTTATAACAATAAACAATAAACAATAAAAAATAACAATGAACTATAAGATCTATTGCTTCCATAAAGGTAAACATATTAACCCATGAAAAATACATAAGGTGGGGACCAGATGTCCCTTTTCAGACACCAAGTCAAGAAACAAAGATACAAAAACCCCACTTTACCCACTTTCTTATTGCACTCATCAAATACTAGGACAAGAACAGCACAACACCACCCATTAAGCAAAACATTCACACATTTCCAAACAAGATTAGCGAACAAAAAGTGTACCTGATTCCTGTTGCCGTCTGAGTCCCCTTCTAGATAATGCTCTGTTTCAAAAACTGAAAATGAAAAAGGAACAATATTTAGAGTTTCAAAAGGTTCATCCTTTTAACTTCCACTTTGTTTGAGATCGAGTTTTTTTTTTTTTTCCCCAATTGGGAGAGTGACATAGATGGGAGTATTTAGTCCATGTAAGCTTCTTTACATGGTGGAATATCCACGTCATGTGTTTCCATTAAGGTAATGTGCCATGCAAGCAAAAAAACACGAAAAGACTGGATTTTAAACTTTAGAGACCAAAAATGGGCTTTTTCCTATAATAAAGGGACCAAAAAGGGGATTTAACCTATATATATATACATATATATATATATATCAAAAAAGTGTATATCAATTTTTATTTTCAATAAGAATTGGAGTATTAAATTCTAACAACAATGTTTCTTTTAAAATAACTCCCCAACCTCTACCATTTTCGCCCCTTTTTACTGTTGCAATTCTTCATCTCGATGCCTCTTGAGATTCATCATCTCCATGCCTCTTCCTATAATTCAATCAATTTGTTTGACACAATGCATAGCAAGCCCATGAAAGATCAACAATGGAGACAAGATGCATCTATCTACCTATCTCTTGTTTCTCTTTAGTTTTCTCTCTCCAATTCTTAGTATACAATAGCTATAAAAGACTAACAATGGAGAGCTTTAGAGCAAAGGTCTAGTTTTGGGCTCCACACCATGGTTTGCAGACAAAGAAAACTAGAGAGAGAAGTTTCATGACACAGAGAGTCAAAGAAATCTAGTTTGTATAGGCAATGATATTGTGCATCACGATGTTAAGGCCATTTCATGGAGCTTTTGTTTGATTCCTTCTCTGTTACCTTTGCCATGGTTTTTATCAAACAAATTGAATGAATTGTAAGAAGAATGACGATTAATTTTAAATGAAACGGTGTCATTAGAATGTAAGACTCAAATTTTGGTTAGGAGTTAACATTGATATGTACTTTTTGGTGTATATATAAATAAAAGATAGTGTATATCATTCTCGACTCGTAAAAAAAGTAGTTTCAACTTTAAATGTTGTTGTTTTATCATTGTTTTAAATTTTAGTTTGGCTTAGACTAGTTTAACTGATTTAACTAGACCCAAGCATTAAAATGGGCTAGTTATGTGTTACCATTCATTTTGTAAGAAAACCCGCTTTTAATCAACAATCTGTTGGTCCGATTAGAAGGAACTTGATTTCTCTTAAGCAAAATCTCGAGTTCGAGTCTTATGAATGGGGAAACAAACACTGAGAGAACTTCCCTCTTATGAGATCCAATGCAACTCGATTCCGAATTAGTCAGAACCCTATGTAGGAGATTAATACAAAAAAAAAAAAAAAAAAAGAAAAAAAAAGGAAAACCTGCTTTAACCTAGTCAAACCTGCTAAACCCATTAAGAGCAGTGCTAGGGGTAGTTGCCTCTTGCATTCTCCAACCAACGCTTGCTCATTTATGGGACCATGTCACACTGCATTTTAGGCAATGAAAAAGCAATCGATTTGAACTGAATTGCAACCTGTTAGAGTATTTTTTTTGAAAATATTTCCAGAACAACCTTTTCATATCATTTTGTATAATTTTATATGTCATTTAAATAATTGACTCTTTTTATTCATTTAAAACTTATAATATTAAATATATTTACTTATTTAATGACATATGAAAGTTGTATAAAAAGATATTACGAAACAGTTATTCTTCTTACCCTTAGTCTTCCTCTCCTTTCCTTTCTCATATCTCCATG